GCACAAATGTTATCGTTCAATATTAATATACCTGTTATATCGTGTTTTATTTTACAAAATTTGATGACGAAGTAAATTATTGTACAATATATTACATTCAATCGAATACATACAATTTATTAATACGCATTAGTCTGAAGTTAAGCATATTAATGATAAATAAAAAAGAAAAGAATAAATCTTTCATAAATAATAATTCGTAGTGTTACGTTAGTAATCGTAGAAAATTTGTCGATATTTCGTTTTACAGTATATGCATTTTATTTTTTTTTTTTTTTTATATACCGTTTTATTCATCGTTCGATATTCATTAATCAGTCACACGCTGATTATGTAATTACGAGATTGAAAAGATCTGACAAGCGTGTTACATTGACGCTTTATTCACGTTGCAAGTTTCGAATGAAAATACATTTATTTGTATGCATATATGCACACAGGTCAGCTTATCTATTTCGATTCTACTATCGTTGACTGTGTTCTTCCTTCTTTTGGCTGAAATCATCCCACCCACGTCGCTCGTTGTACCTCTTCTTGGTAAATTCGTCCTTTTCACCATGATCTTAGATACCTTCAGGTACATATCTATTTTATATGATGATAACTATTATTTATATTAATATTAAATTAAGTACACATAATACTAATATTATATTTAATGTATAATACAATATTAATATAATCAAATTAAAAAGAAATCATTTTTATTTGGATTAAATTTTTGAAAAACACAATGTAGTAAAAGAAAAAAATGTGATTAAAAGAAAAAAAAGATAAAATTAATGTTTATAATTCATTATCTTAAGAAATCAACGATGATTAATTTAAATCTACGATGCACTTTTCGAAAAGATCATCAACAATGAAAAAAATAATAAATATTAATATAATTTTGTTTACTATATATAAATGATTACAGGTTCGTATTAAAAATCTAAATAAACGTTTACGCGTTAAATAAACATTTTTCTTGTAACTTTGTTTTCAGCATATGCATCACAGTGGTAGTACTCAACGTTCACTTCCGTTCACCACAAACTCACGTGATGGCACCATGGGTCCGTCGTGTCTTTATCCATGTCTTACCAAGATTACTCGTGATGCGCAGGTATAATACGACTTCGAAGAGAACCGATTACGATTCCAGGCAAGATATATTCCACATTGGAATCATGCCATGATGCATTAAATCGGCATTAGCGTGTTGTAGGTGATGACCTTAATGTCATCTTTGTCCATATAATACATATATGTATTCATACGCACATATATTTTAATATATATAATTCGTATATAATATTAAATATATATAATATCAACAATAGTATAAAAAGGTGTTTTTTAGAAAAAACATATGAATATATTTTAATATATTATATATGCGTATATACATATATATATATATATATATATATATATATATATACTTAAATACATTTATATGTATATAATACACCGTAGAGAGCATGAAAAGATATTATTCGATGGGATTATGTACACCCTTCGGCACATCTTTTTTTCCATAATATCACTGGCATTTCCCATGTAGGAACTTGAAATATTAAATGTTTGGATATCTTATCTTAGAACGACATTCAGACGCCTTTAAAAAAGATGCAAATGCGGTTATATTATCGGCTTGTATATAAAAAGCAATCTCATTGTTAAAGGATAGCTTTATTGTAAGACCCTGGCACCGTAGTCATTTTTTATACTTATCGAACATCACCATATTCAACAAAATTCGAGTTAACAGATTCACGTTATGATCGACACACAGGTCAATATCTATTTTCAATTCTCACCCATCGTAGTATCATCACGCACAGCGTATATATATTATTTACTTTATATCTCTTTAGTGTTAAAGCATGATGTTCGTTCATTCAAGATTTTTATCAAAATTGTAGTTATTCAAGTTTATTACCTATTTTTTCGTCATTTTTATTAATAAGATTTGATCCATAAATGCTTTCTTCAAATATCTCTTAATATATTTATATTTGAATCGTTTGTATCATATTAGTAAGAACAGAGTGATCTAAATTGTAATTATTTGATTCATTTTTTTTGTAATATCAATTATAGTCTATAATATGAAAAATATTTTTATAAACGATCACTTTGTACGTTCCCATTGTATTGACATTTTACCGTATGCCTGAAAATATATATTTATTAATTATTATATATAATTATTAAATATTTTCAAATGTATGGATATTGATAACGTAAATTAGTATTTCGCGTGTTTAGTTTATTCATTCATTTTTCGATTATACGTTAAATTCAAAACTGGTAAAGTGTTAATAGTGATATCAAAGTTTTCCAATTTTTTTTTGGTTTTACATTATTTCATTAATTAATTATTTTTGATTTTCTATGTTGTTTTTTTTTTTATATATAGGCCGCAGTATCCTATAGATAAACGTAGTATAAGCGGACAACATGGACAACGCGTGATGGTTAGAACATGCAACGGTCTTGAATTAAGAGATCCGTCTATGTTCGTTGAAACTTCGGCTTCGGAGTTGGTTGAATCCTCTGTTCTTTTTCCGAGTTTAGACTCGCAAGATGAATTACATCCTCGGTAAGAATTTAACAATTTATATATTAACTTCGTAACCATATTATTCAGTTTTTTTTTTTTTTTTTTTTAAATAATTATTCCCGATTTTTTTTCACATTTATTAAAAATAATTTCTATGTGTGTTAATATATTTATCTAAAATTAAAGATAAGAAGTTTAAATATTGATACAATTTATATTATAATTTATAATAGACTCAATCCTCTCTTATAATACGGTTAGATCGTTTCGCGTTCAATGAAAACTTTGTTAAAGAAAAACATAACATAGTGTAAGAGAAATATTTGTCTTATATGAGAGAATTATCCGAAATTTATTAAATTGTGCTGTATGAAAACCGTGTTATAAGAAGATTAATTGTGATTGCGTTATAATTTATATATATATAATTTATAATATATATATACACACACACACACATAATTTATAATATTAATTATTTCTTTTAAAAATTTCATACAAAAAAAATTACTAAATTTGAATTATTGACAAAGAGACCACCGTTCTTTTTATTTATCATTATATTCTATCCTTTCCTTTTCGTTTTCTTTTTTCCAGAGAATTAGAAGCGGTAAATCTAGGAAGTGCGTGTCGTATTCATGGTTCACCTGCAACCACTGTGGCACCACCACCTCAGCTCCCAACGGAGGAAAGCGTTGATGCACTTTGCAACACGCTTCATCATTGGCATCACTGCCCAGAATTGTACAAGGCCATCGAAGGCATTCGTTTTATCGCCGAACACACGAAAAGAGAAGAGGACTCTACAAGAGTACGATGATAATAATTACCTTTGCCAATTAACACCCTTAATCAAATTCAAATATTGTTTTAATTTAACAATTTCACGTTAACGCGTAATAATATCCAAATCGAACATCGAATTTTTCAACGAAAATTCAAGCTAATCTTTAATCATTTATGTAAATTTTGTTCTACCTATTAAAAATCCTGCAAATTTTCATACTTATTATTAATCGATAATGTTGCTACGCAAATGACCATAATATGTTAGTATGCAATTTTGTATAATCCTTGCAATAGGCAACACATGTGTGTTTCTAATATACATATAGGTTCATAAAAATGAAAAAATATTTATATCAACAGATACCATTGGCGAGCAACACGTTATTGACTAAGCCTCGAATGATTAATATTTGCATAAATAATAATGACAAATTTATGCACGAACTTAGAACGAATCTTTGGGCAAAAATTTTCATGGATAAATAATATAAATGAGCATAAAAATCAACAATTATTTGTTAAATAATTAATGTTATGAAACGATCTCATCCAAAAAAAAAATATATATTTAAATAATGAGATAATAATTAAAATCGGGACATTTGTTGTTCGTAGGTTAAAGAAGATTGGAAATACGTTGCCATGGTGCTCGATAGGCTATTCTTGTGGATTTTTACATTAGCCGTGGTTGTCGGTACGGCTGGTATAATATTACAAGCACCGACCTTGTATGATGATCGCATCCCAATCGACGTACGACTCTCCGAGATCGCCTCCACCACTGCCAAGCCACACATCGTTCCGAGCCTCTGAGGGCCAATTGCTAATTTAACCCCTTTACCCTTTGCGTACACCTACGAACAAAAAAGACACACACCTATTATAAAACAGAACAATGTGTTGTCAGAAGTAACGACTGAAAGACTGAAGTCTCGGTGAGTCTTCGACTTTTATTAACGATTAATTCCTTAAGCTCGTACGCGTTTAATCGTACATATATATGTTAACATATATTTAAGAGCTTACGTGTACGACGAGCTAAGAGAGGAATAGGAAATAAAAAAAATAAAAAGGAAAAAAATGATAAAAAAAAAATTTAAAAAAAAAAAAAAGTAAAATTATATATGATATATAAAATTAAAATTAAAATTAAAATTAAAATAAAATAAAATAAGAAGAAGAAAGCAAAAGTCGCGCGTACCAAGCTTTCGACCCGTGACACAACGAAGATATAAAAAATAAAAAAAAAACAAAAAAAGAAAAAAAATAACAAGAAGCTTAGAGAAGACGAGGTTGTGAGAAGAAGGGGTGAGCCGTGCGAAACAAAAATTCTCAGAGTAAGCATAGAAACATAAGAATAATCCTTTTTCTTCTCTTTTTTTACTTTTACTTTTTGTTGCTTTCCTTTCTTTGATTTGTTACGTCAACATTATCTTTTGTCCCGTGTATGATTTTCTTCCAACAAATGTTTACACGTTTTACACGTTTACACGCGAAGCCAATTATCGTCCTCCACATTTTATATTATAATAATCTCCATTTGGTGTTCTCTCTGAGAATTGTGTCATGGGTATTAGCGACGTGTGTGTGTGTGTCTGTGTCTGTCCTGTGTGTATGCATGTGTATGTGTGTGTGTGTGTGTGTTTGTGTAACGGAAAAGAACGCGTTTAGGAAAAGAAAAACCAAGTATATTTATTCGGCGCACCGTTCGACGCAAGCACGGCCTCTCTTTTCGGGGACCGTAATTTATGTTGCGTATAGAAAGTCACGATGACGTTTAACGAAGGTAATAAATAAATTAAATTAACAAAAAGAAAAAGAAAAAAAAAACAAAAATATATATGTATTATATATATATATTTAGGATCAAGCGATTGAAACACATACATACCGTAGACTTAATATAAATGAGAGAGAGAGAGAGAGAGAGAGAGAGAGAGTGAGAGAGAGAAAGAAAGAAAGAGAGAGAGAGAGAGTAACAAGTTCAAGTAAGTTCAATTTTATGCCAGATACATTTGAGAGAAACAAAATCGTCGTAATTATTATTATTATTATTTAATTTTTTTTTCTTTTTCTAAATATTGTTCCCTTGTACTTTATTTCATCGGATATTTCGCCATTGAGAAAGAAAAAAAAAACCATGTCAATTTACGGAGAAAGGGGTGACGGGAGTTAATTGTGCCGAAGGATCAAGGATTCAAGACTGAAAGTTAAGGAACGGATAAATATTCGTTCGAATTTCCTCGCTTTCCTCGCGATCGTTGTTATTCGATACAGACAACATTCGTCACCCTAATTTGTTAATCTTCTTTCGTCGATAAAAATATCGTTTACAAGCAGGATTGGGTACATATTTTAAATCAGTCAACAACTGTTTGTCGAATATAGTTTTTCAGTTCTAATATCTATTTTGTAATAGTTATACAAGTTAAAATAAAATTTAACAAAAAAAAAAAAACAAATAAAATAAAATTAAAAAGAAAAAAAAAACGAAAGAACGCGAAAGAGAGAGAGAAAAAAAATAAAGAAAATAAAAGAAAAATAACGAAACGAATATCCGAACGACTGATGCAAATGGAGTTGAAAGGAAAAATTCGATTTTGGACGATAAATATTTAATTATCAACCGTCGCTTGTTCGGAATATATGAAAAGTAATCTTAAAAATTTCGAATTAACGTCCGGGTTACTTGAATAATGTTCGTGAGTAAAAGTAAAAAAAAAGAATGGTATAGAAAAAAGTAAGCAAAGAACGGTAACGAACAAAAATGAAAAAAAAAAAAAAAAAAACAATGAAAAATGAAATCCTCCGAAAATGTTTAAAATACGTGCTCATCCTGTCTCTAAACCACATGTGGAAATTCTTTATATTTATAATAACTATATTAAAACGAGACTTCCTCGTCTTGTTGTACAGAAAAAGGAAATTGTAAAAAAATGGGACCGAAATATATTTTACATTTATAGCTTTGGTCATTGTCGTGAAAATCACGCTCAATGCGCCACAATGCCTTTCAACGATAACAAAAAAGAAAAAAAAAGAAAAAAGAAGAAGAAGAAGAAAAGAAAAAAAAAGAAAATATTTACGCTGAGACTATATAAAAATTTTTGCTTGTAGATTTTAAAACAAGAATCACGATCTAGGACTGTCGTCAATATTCAAATTTCCGTGTTCGATTCGCGACAACGCGAACATACTGAAGTGTCTAGCGTTTATTTGTAATAATATAACAAACACGTACAAACCATACACACACACACAAACATACATAAAGAAATACTATAAAGTATAAATGATTAAACACGAGCATAAATATATACAAACGAATATATTATATACATATATACGAATATATGTATATCCTTATTTGTAATAAAATTCAGCGTTACTTTACGAATGTGGGGAGGGAGGAATGTAATCCTTAGAGAGCTTGTTGATATATTCGGAATTATGGTGCCTGACAGACAACTACGATTGAGTTTTAAGAATACTTTTATATATATTCTGAGAAGAGGATAAGTGATAGGTTATTAAAAAAAAAAAATTCGTTGATCGCCCAACGTTGTACGACGCGATGTTTCGATTGCTTGCGTAAGTCGTTCGGATATATGTGTCTGTTAAGAAAAAGTTCATATATTCGAATATACCGAATGACTAAAATGATTTAGACTCTTGGCAGGCCTATTATAAATGTAAATGGCATGGAATTCAACGACGCCTGTTGCAGACTCTGAAAAATAATCGTTTTTCCAAATGTTCACATTGAGCCTGTAACATAGGGGCCATATTTTCACAAAGAACGAGGTGGCGTGTGTGTCTCTCATTAAAATGAAATTCTAAATAATATTATCTGCATCAATAAGGCGCAGAGAACTGGGTGGGGCCTAAACAAAATTTAGCCGACTCAAATTTTATTGACTCATACACACATATATACGAACATACATACATACATACATACATACATACATACATAAATGCACGTATATATACGTATATACGTTGTAATAAGATAACTTTCATATTTATATTCGTTCCGAAATCACACATGAATAACTTGTCGATATTTATTATACATTTTATCGGAGTGTATGAAGACAAAAAATTGTTTGTTATATACAATCACGTTCCAATAATTTACTGTCTTCCCAAGGTACTAAATTTGCAGTTTAATTTACGATGGTAGCCAAAATCTCTATCGTGCTGCTATCCTTGCCAAGAAAAGTAGAGTCTGATTGGTATTGAATCCTTAATTAAAAACAAGTATATGTACGTGTAGGTGCGTCTTGGAGTTAAAGTAATAAATAATGTGCTATTTAGCATTTGAATCTATTGTATTATTTTTGTTTTCTATAATCTATTGTTTATGAGATGAAGCTCTGCGAATGATGAAGCTTTTATAAAATACAAAAAGGCACAAAACTATGTTATGCAATATAGTAAATCTTATTAAAGTAATTCTATTGCATAAAACACTGAATATAATTATAGACATACATTAACAGAAGTTAAAGAACCGTTCCTTATAACTGTTACCGAATAATGCATTAATTGACCTTTATTTAAAATGCAAGGATTGCAAATAAATACAACATATTAAGAGAGAAGGGCTAGTTTCATTTATACTTAACGTACTCACTAGCGTTGGATTGACATAAGTTTCAGAGATATTTAATTTTTATCAACTAACTAAAAAAGAGTATAAGAGTGTGAAAGAGACATATGAGTGTGTATGCAACTAAGGAAAAAGAAAAGTGAAAAGAAAAAAAAAACAATGATTATTATGAAAAAGATTACATGTTATGGAAGTAAGAGCAGTGATAGTTATTTAATGTAAGTTGCATCTAACAATATACATAAATATATATATATATATATATAAATAACCATTACTCACTCGATAAAATAATATAGCAAGATATTTTGTGAGTGTGTCTATAAACTCGATTAAACTTATATGATAAACAACTGAACGTTGTATTGATTTACGAGAAGGATATATTTGTTCCGATAGAGAAAGGAATTTTATAAAGGTGTTGTATATGTGAGTGTCATCATTTATGAAAGCGCCTTATTCAGCGAATTTCGTACAAATTTCAAAGATAACATCTCTCCATCATTTCAAATCATTTTCAAACGTTGCAGGGATCTTTACCAGGTTACGCGTAGCGCATGGCAGATATATTATATTTCTTCGTTATTTATATATATATATATATATAGATCAATAATATTACATTTCCATTTTCTTTCATTTTCTATCTGCTTTCTCTAAATTAAAAGAGATAATAATAAGTATTTTGACTTAAATCACTGTTTCCTTATATTCAATGATACTTGACTGAGCCACCTTTATAGAAACCTTTCTTATGAAAGGACATCGTAATTTTAGTAGCAAGTAATATTTAAGTATCTCATGTTAATATATTTTTTAGCGCAGTGTATCTAAAAAAAAAAAAAATGAAAAGAAAAGGAAAAGAAAAATGAAAAAAAATTTTACCGAAAACGTTTTGAGAAACACGTTATGTCCCATATGAAATATATCCACTCTCATAATTTTTAACAGATCAATTTTTGAATATTAGAAAGTGCAATCACTTATTGTAATAAACGACCGATAAGTTTTAAAATAATACCTACGTACGATATATTTTAAAGTTTTAAAATGTATTACATGATTAAAATTATATGATCTTCTTACATATCTTCTTGATCGTCCATTATGTTATATTTTACATTTTTACATTTTTGTTGCTAGTAACGATTAAAAAAAATAATATAAAAAAATAATAATTAATAATAATAAAAATCTATTAATCTCTAGACGTACTAGAGCAGTTAGAGAGAAAGAGACTCTAGTTCAAATGGCGAAATAAATAATGGAAAAAAAAAATGAGAATAAGTAACTTTCTCTTCGATGCGTAAGCTCAAGTGATATGAATCTAATCTATATATCTAATATAATTATAATTACGTTGAAGGAAGTAATTTACGTTTACACGAACTTCTGTATACTGCGAACTAAGGATATCACACTGTTCATGTTTTGAAATAGCTACGAAAGAGATTAATGCAAATAGTTCTATCAGAATGCGCTGTAACGTAACCTGCTCATTATATACATATATACATCAATTGTTCACTATTACAAGTAAATACAAGTTTATTTTCAAGCCCCCATAATATTCCACAGTTCTTTGTGTCTAATAAAAAAATACTTTTGCATAGATATCATTATTTATCATCCATTATATATATAATAAAGTCTTGTTGCAACAAAAGGAAGCTCAGATTATATAATCTGCATCGAACGTATAGAATTGCACGAAAATAATGGTCATTTTCAGTAGCATTTAAAAAGTATGTCAGACAGATAAAAAGAAAAATGAATGAAATTTTTATTTGCACAAACTTTTGGTGCAATCAGATAAAATGTCACCGTCGTTAAAAATTCACCTAAATGTTTGACAAACAAATTCATGTTATTCCTGTAATAGCATTTACTAATATAATTATTAAATATTTTAAATTCAATTCACACGATTAACGAGACAACGTTATAAAATAGTATTTTTAAATACCTGCCCCGATAAAAACAAGCCTCATAATTATTTGTAACATTGGAGCATCTAGCAGACTGCTTAATTTACTTTTAAATAATAAAATGCATAGTAAGAGCAATTGGCTAGATGCTCCGTTTAATTATGAACATATAAACGATGATGAAACTTTCTACATAACAGGTATATATCAATAAAATTGTCGAATAAACTTGATTTTTGTAAAAAAAAAAATAAAAATCGTGGTATTGTGAATTCATTTTAACGTACATTATTCATTTTATTTAACATCTGTTAATATCTTTTCTGCAAATATTCATATTTATACAATTGTAAGTACATAATCATTTTTATTTATAAATTTATAAGATATTAACGAATATATATATATATATATATATATATATATCCTTATAAATAACAAAAGAAAAGAAAGTGAAATTTGAAGAAATGTACATCTGAAAAGGAAATTAATGTTACATGGTAAAACATGTAATGTATATCATAATTGTTTGAATTTATTTCCTCTACGACTCCCGTAAATTCTTCGTCGGATACGTAGGTTTTAAATTATTTTGTTGAAATTTCGTGTCTTTTTCACTTCGAATCCTATGAATTTTCTTCTTAATCACCATTGCACCTTTTTATATAAATTATATACAGATGAAATTCCTTAATATTGAAATAATCATTACATAATTGAACTTAAAATAAACTTACATAGTAATGCTTTCGCAAGTTCATTTTTCTTTGGTTTAACATTAACTGATTTCTTCATAGATTTTTTATGCCTTTTTTGTATATTAGCAAGTTCGATTGCTTCTTTAGAAGGTGGGGGAAAAAGGCAAATTTCAAGCCAATGAGTTGCTTTAGCGCATTCGCATAGTTTTAACAATACCTAAGTTATTAAAAATTCTTATAAATTATCATTTTAGAAAAATGATAAAAATGTAATATTTATATGATTGTTGAACGCATTTGAAATTAATTTACACTTAATTCTTATTCGTTTTAAAAATCTTTACCGAATTTGAACATTCCGCAAGAAACCATAGCAACAAAGCGAGATCCACTTTTTCTGGCCACATCATTTTAGGTATAAAAAATATGTATAAATAGACCCTGATTCATAAATTATTTATAAATTTGTTCAGGTAATCATTCTTTTTGAGAATATGTATACATATTCTTTTCATACTGACCAATTGAGACAGTGAATTGAGAATAATAGGGTAGCAGTCCATTTAGCAAATAATTTTCCAACTTCACCGATAACTTGAGTACTACATATCAAAATCCTGCAAATATCTATTAATATTATGTCAATAGATCTATAGAATAGGAAGACATTTTCTATCTTACACCGCCTAGAAAAACAATAATATAGTATATTTTTTTAATATAAAATTCTAGAAAGATATAAGAGTTCAATTACTTTTCATAAAGCATATTTAAGATGTACGATGCAAATAACAGATTTGCTAAACCATGAATCCAAGCGCTATAACATATAATAGCAACACCAGCACGATGAAAGAAGAAACTTTTATATAAAATAATAGCCAATTCCTGATGCGTTATATTCCATCCATTAAGAGAAAAATTTAAATTCTTGGTAGGCATATACATAATGTACCAAATGCTGCAGAAGCAAAATCCACAATTCCATACCGATTCAATTATCCTATACCTCTGCATCAATGGAATACACATACGACGAAGCAATGACTATAATAAAAAAGATTATTACTATGGAACAACAGTAATAGATATAACAACATAAAATTGTCATCGATGCAACTTACATTTAAACATTTTTTATATGCAAGATAAAGAGTTGCCCAAAGTAAAATAAAATATCCTAAGAAAGTGTTAACATTTTTAATCCTATTATTGTTTTCAGTAAGATCTTCAGTTATAACAATCTTGTTCCACATATTTAATGGATATGGTAAAAAATTAGTAATATCCATTAAAGAATGCCATTTGATTGCAGAACTTGCTTCCACATATTGAGTCATCTTTAGAATCTATTTTAGTCAGCGAATGCTTTTTATTGTCAATAATACTTATTGATTTAAATTAAATTGTATTAGTACTCGTGATTTTTTCATGCACACCTACTTAATTATTTCAATATTACACTCGAAATAGTGATAGATATATATAGCTATGTAAAACCAATTTAAGAAATTACAAATAATAATTGCGATTGAACGATCATACATTAAAACAAACAAATGTTTCAACAGGTTGTATAATTATTTGTATCAAACTGATGAATACGTTAAATTTTAGGAACTCGGACAATACACCGTGCAAATGAAATAATCTTTTTTATTATAAAAGCGTACACCTGACACTTCTGACCTAACACAAATAACCTTAGAAAATTAATACATAAGGGCGGAAAGCATGACTAGTGTCATCTGTTGTCGATAGTAAGAACTAATAAATTACTATCGATAAAACTCGTATCGAAACCCGTAATTATTTGCAATTAAAATTATCCTTAAAAATTTTGCAAGATATGTGTGTTATGTGAGTTCATATTTAATGTAATATTAAATATTTTATATAATATTTATTTATTAAATATTTAAAGTAATATTAAAGTAATATTAAAGTAATATTTATTATTGTTTAATATTAATTATGCTCTCTGCAGACTATACATTATAATAAATCTATAAATAAGTATAAAAAGTATAAATTAATTAAACCTGATCGTTCTCTTTCTCGCAAGAAAAATTTTTCGATGTTTACACGCCAGAAGCTGGAAGAATACTGACACGATATAACTTTCAAAGTCAGACGAGCGTTTGTTTTTATTGAAATTATGGCAATGTTACGTGCGCACGAGCTATGTACATTTTAAACAGAGACGTACTATCTTTAAAATAATAAACAAATATATCTCAATTTTTAATATTCGCTATAATACATTTTTTTCCTTATAAATTTTGAACACTTTCAAGCATTTACCTAAATTCAACAATACTAAAAAAGTAATCCTTACGTATAAATAGAAAACTATCGAATGTTTTTCATTATATATTGAAGGAACTATTTAACAAAACAATATAATACATCGTACTAGTTTACAAAGTGAAACTGTATTTTTTACATTTATACAAAAATTAAATTTAATATTTGTTAAAGAATGATAAAAAAGCAAGATTTATTTTTAAGTGAAGCGTTACTTCTAAACAAATTCGCTTCAGAGTGTCTTTGCAAAATTATTCCTACGTGATAAATCAATAAAAAAAACTAAATCTTCGTGATTTAATTTAATAATTTAAATCCTTCGTGATATAACAATTATGATTTGGTCACATATATATGTCAATCTAAAAAAATGATGGCTCTAACGAATAGGATTATGTTACCAATTACGAGTCCTACCCATCGAGACCCTTCAAAATCAAGAATAAGGCTATCACTGGAAGCACTGATAAGGTTTCTTCGATCAAGAGCGTGTCTCAAACTTCCTCGACCTATTTACCGGGATAATGTAGATATTTATCTTTATTACTTGCAGTTATATTTTTACAGTATATGATCAAGAAAATAAATAGAATTAACAAGGGTAGAGCCAAATTGACAAGACATCGGATTTTGTTTTGTTTAAATTTACACAATTATAGGAATTCATCAGGATCATCGATTGTGCAAGCAATAAGATTCAACAAAAAAAACGAAGGGAGAAGTTTCACATGCATTCTTATATACCAATTCGTGTTTTAAATGGAAAAATAAATTCTTTAAAATTTCATTCGAGAAAAAGAAATTGTAAAATTCACTTTTCCCTTGTAAGTGGATCGAGTATTAACTCGATTGGTGGGAAATGTTTAAAGGTTCCTATGATTTTATTAAATCTGGTCTCTCCAGACATCTAAACTTTTGTAATACGTTCTATATTTATCATTGAAATGAATAGAAAAATAGATTCCCTTTTCATGTGTTAAATTCCTTGATGCACTTAACCTTCAACAACAAATCATATTTGCAAATGATCCATCACAGGACCAGTCTGTTAAGATGGCAACTTACCGGTTTAGAACCTGAATTTCTTTTTTCATTGTACGTTCCTTGATGATCACGAACAATAATTTCTTCCCTCGTAGGATCTTCTTCTTCTTCGTCTGTTGGAATTTCAAGGACTCCCTCTGCTAAGAGTTTAGATCAGGAGATCACGTAGAACATAATGGCAATTGCTGACATTCTATTATTGTATACCTTGCTAGCTAACTGTTAAAAAAAAGCTTATACTGATATACTATTATTTTTATGAAATATGTATACTCTAATAAGTAGTATACACCAAGCAAATTGAACGAAATAAAAGAAAAACATGGAGAGCAATTAATTTATATATTTTTCTATTAAATCAATTATTTTTCCCCCATCATACTTACAAATTATCTTTTCTGAAAAAACATTTCGGTAAGATCAGAGAAATAAAAATAGAAAGAAATAAATAAATGTACCGTTTTCATATAAATAACTTTCTACAATCGAAGGTAATAATTTTCGAAGGAAAGTATGTACACGCTTTTTTTTTTCTCACAGTCAGATCGCTACAGTAAAAAGTTTAAATAACAACGAATGTAGTTTCGACGGAACCTCTATTTCCTTATTTCTTATACGAGTACAAATATTGAAACCAAAAAATCAAAGACGTGTAAATTTCTTTCGAAGCTTGATACAAGAAATTATCCGTCTATTCTAGTTCAAAAAGAGGATGTAAAAGACAAAGGAGAAGCATAATCCAAGGAGAACGAGGTGGAAGTGTTTCTCGACAGTACGCGAAAGCGTACTGTCACCTCTCAAGTTAAAGTGAAAGTCAACTTTGTTGTGATCGTTGATCCAAATCGACGCGAGAGATCGATAAGAACGATTCCCGATACGATATTTTCTTGAAACAATTGTAAATAATTTGTGTTTCTTTATATTTCTTTTCAAATTTCAATTTATATCTCTTATATATATATGCATATATATAATATAGATTTTTTAGTGTATATGTGTGTATGTGAGCGTATATGAAGTATACACACTCGTATGTGATGAATATGCTATCGGTGATAGAATCAAATTATTTATACAAAACTTAGTTTTTTTTTTGTTTTTTTTTTCGAGGTTGGCATAATACTATATTAATAGTTTTTTTTTCTTTTTAAACGAAATGATATATTTTTGTATTTACAATCTGATAGAACGTTTTAATATGCGCGTACAATGAATTGCGTTGTGGTTTTTTTCTTAGATAAAAAATAATTTAAAAAAAATGAATAAATAATTACCCTCGCGAAATCAAGTAAGTTTTAATTTGAAATTTTTTTTTGTTCTATCACCAAACGCAATCGAGTTATTCAGGTGGTGGTCTGTTTGAAATGCCTCCTCAACCGGTGTATAGATTGTATTACCTGTTTCGTTTAAAAAAATAAAACTTTCGTTCGTTTTGAATAACAAAGAGGCGTGGTCGCTTTCCACGTAGCCACGAAGAAAAGATGATCGTTTGAATTATGATGATCGTTTTGGAAGGAGTTCAAGCGGTTTTACAGTAGATCGCGTCTCTTATGAAATGGAACTGTTTTCCTGGAAATGAAGCGAACCGAGGCGAGGAGGACGAGGAAAAAAAAAGAAAGAAAACCATTTCAATCGTTACGAACTTTCCAATAATCTCTAAATATTTCTCTCTTCGCGTACCCCAACTAAAAATAATAAATTCTTTCCTAAAGTTATAATTTCCTGGTCTACTTATCAATTGACAGAATGTATTATTTCCACTGTAATTTTACATCATTTTTTTGAAATTTATTTACTTTACAATTACTTCAAAAGTTTATGCCTGACCATACAAAAATACAATTTTTGTAATATTACTCATTGTATTATTGTTATAAAACATAACAAAACGATGAGATATATGTGCTTCCAATATTATAATAATAAATTAAATTAATAAGTAAATTAAATTAATTTTTTTAATAATAATTAAAATAATAATAATAAATTACATTAATTTATTGAAAAATAAATTATAATTTTATAATTTATACTCTGTAATATATAAATAATTGTGATATAAAATAAATCATATAATAAATTTTGTCAATTTTTTGTGTGTTCACTTGTCCATTATCGTAATCACCTGCAATTGTATTCGAATATTGTATCCTTCGAATCATCTTCGAGTATAATAGTTTAACAAGCGGTTAGAAAAAGTCTATAGGGAAAGGTGGAATGAAAGGATGAGAGAAGAAAAGTGTGCCATTAAAATCGAATACTCACTGTCAGTCAGTGACCTACTAACGCGTCTTCCTTCGAATAATACGATCTAGCAATAAGATAAATACACCTTTTTATGAACTTTTTACCAAACTTGCTATTACCGTGAATCACAATGAGCAATCAGTATGTACAAAATTAGAAATTATAATAGACCTGTTAACCTATTTGCTTAACAGTTTACAAAACCATTTGAAATTTCTATTTTCAAATACATTTTTGCTGTCTTGTTTAAAACACCATATTTGAAAGAAAGAAAAAAAGAACGAAATAAAGAAAATGAAACAGATTTATCGTAGATATATTTCGTGATCAACGATCGTTACCGTTTCTTTTAATTCGAAAGAATTACGTAATTGAAAAATACTGTCTCAATTAACAGAAAAACAGGATATTCAATGCAAATAAACTTTACTGATTAGATCGGCGAATTTGAATATTTAATATTCTACTCGGACGTAAAAACCATTCGAGTCTGCAAAATTACGTATAGACTATCTGCTTCGTCGAAGATCGAAAGTACTTTCGAAAACGTGTATTATCGGTACAAGCAACGTGACTTCATGAATTTATTCCATACTTATCGCGTATGTTTAAATTCGATGTTATATTCTAACTCGAGGAATTTTCTTATAATCGATCAAAACAACAATTTCCATAAATTGTATTACATTATAAATTTTAACGATTAAAAGAAAAAGAAAAATTATCCAACGCAATTGGAAAAAATTAAATCACCACACAATTTATCCGTAATACGGTAAACATTTTTCGAACGAGTTATCGTGAGTTTTATAACGACGATTAAAAAAAAAAAAAGGAAAAAAGAAACAAAAAAGTAAAGAAAAGTAAAAGAAATTTAATTTGACGTTAAAATTAATCCTAATAATATTACAATGTAAAAATAATAATAAGCAGCGTTACGATTGATCGGTAGTAGGATATTAATCGCAATAACCGCTACATAACCGGCTCTTAGGTAAGAGAGCACGAACATGACCCTTGATCGTAAGAAGGAACATATTAACATTCCCTTTTTGCAATGTAAAACTCACTGTGTCGACTACTTTCTTTATCTATATAATATTCCCCCTCTCCTCTCTCTCTCTCTCTCTCTCTCTTTCTCTTACATTTGTAAAAGTGACAACGAGATTTAAAAGAAGGACAAAGATAGAAAGAGTTGCTAGAACCACGATCGCGCATGACCACTTTGACATTCGAACTGTCTCTATCTTTTGCGTGAGTGTTTGTAACGAATCGTGTTTGGTCAAGATAGTTAGAGTGAGAGAGACAGAGAGAGAAAAAAAAAGTATGAGAAAGAAAGAATCAAAGGAGTGGGACTGGTTGGCTGGAAGAAAATGCAGAACTCGTTGAAAGCTGAGAGAGTGAGAAAGAGATAGAGAGAGTGAAAGAGTGAGAAAGATGAAAATATAAGAAACCAAAGAGGAAGGGATAGCAGGAGAAAAAGTGGTAGTAAACGTTGACTGTATATTGTAGTTGGGTTCGGACTAAGAGGTGATATAAAGGCATACGTTGCATTCACCTGGTTTAACTTACCTGGAAGATCGAAGATCGAACACGACAAGAAGAAAGCTCCCCGAGCCTTACTGGCTAAAACCATCACACGACACCACACCACTCTCCAACGTCATGGTGAGTACGATTCTATTATAAATTTTGTTATTATATCTAATTAATTTAATTATATATATATACGAAAGAAATTATTGTTTCTACGATAAAATATTTATATTTTCAAATACTTTTACTGATTTTAATAAATATTGTATGGAATTATATCAATTAGAATACAGAATTGATAATAATCGTTTTAATTATTTGAATGATTTATTATGAATTAAATTTTGTCTTGTACGCTTGGCGAAAGATATTTTCGAAAATGTTTCTTTTCGATTTAATTTTCAAATCTTTTAAAATTGAATATTAATTTTATTTCAGATATATATGGATTTAATAATAATTAATTATTTATTTTTAATTTGTATCGATACCTTAAAAAGATTAGAAAAATTTGAACGATAAATAATCTCTCTCTTTATTTGACTGTATTTTAGTTGATTTATCTCATATACAAATATTTTGTTTTAAATTCATATCAGTGCACACGCTTCAATCTTTAATACTATCACGACATACGATCTGTATGTGATTATATATATATATATAGCTTATATAATACGAACGAACGTGTATTCGAGCCTCAGACGACTAACAATTATGCGATTAGTTAGCGTGTGACAGGTGAAAGATAAATGATATTTTTTTGTGCCTTTGAAACATCTTGTCTGTTGAAATTATACATTGTCTTCTTGTTTGCATATAAATATATACTCATTACCTAATTAACTAATTGTAAGATATAAAACTGAACAATAAATAATTTTTTTTCAAAACGTTGAGATAAAGAAAATAGATAAAAGAATCAGAAGTTTATCTCACATTGATTTTAATAATATCGTGCAATAAATTAAACTCGTTATATTTTCCATTTTTCATTGTCATACATTAATAATCGTATTTGAAATAATTTTGTATTAATTAACTCGATGACAGGAAAACCGGTAGAGAGTCATTTTTCAATTGCTGGTTATAGTAATAATAAAAAAAAAGGCCTTCTACTAGTTTTCTGCTGACACCGAGTATAAATTTCCTTATTTAACTTTAACCATGATATATATTGCGACTTAATGAAATGTCGTTTATTTTAATCGATATTTCGAACAAAAACAACAGCAACAAATCATTCAGGACTTTGATGAAAAAGTGGACGTGATTTTTTTACATTTTTGTTTAATCAAGGAGAACGAGTTTGTTATACGGAAACGTGTATAGTTCGAGGTCAACCTTGTCGTTTCCGTATAATAAATCGATAGGCACTATAAAAAAAAAAAAAAGGATATAAAATCATAGACAGAATTTATAGAAAATGATGTTCTACGAACGAGTTATACGAACATAAATTTTTTATTTTCTAACGGAATATAAAAACCGAATAGTTTTTCTTTTTGTTTTTTTTACAAATATGAGGATTAATATTTTTCAAGATAAAGAGCGAAAGGTACCTTTTTTTTTCTTTTTATACAAAAAAAAATCAAAGTTTAATTAATGCACATTTTCTATGAAAATCTTCAACTTGTTTGTTGATTTAAAATACACGAACTATACGTATTAGATTACTGTATACGTAATTGCACTATCGTCTAAGCGTGTACGATAATTCAATTATGGCAGATACATAGATAAATGCATGTGATTCTTCGTAGATGATGCAAATTAGGACATCTTATGGAGACGTTACATAAAATCGGATTAGAAGTAACATTGATTAAAATTATCAGTTGACTACGAATTAACGTAGAAATTTTCTTAATCGAATTATAAATTAAAAATTTCTTTTCTTTTTAAAAAATTCAAATATTCAAAAGAAGTAATGAATAATCAATCATTATGATATATTCAAATGAATGATACTCGAACAATGTTTCATAAAATATTGATTTCTTTTAGAAATAATAAATTCGATTAGTAGTTAATTAAATTATCAATCTATTTACGTTTTATAAGTATAAATTTGATTATACGATATTTCTAAATTTCTTTGATCGATAAACGTGAGAAAACAATAAACAAATTATATGTTTTTCATAATTAATGTTGAGAGCCGAGTTCGTACAATTTAAAAGTCACGTTTCTACCTTGAAACACGAGAAAGTGAAAGGTTTGTAAGAATAAAGTTTATTTCGTGCAAGTATAATTAATTAAAAAAAAAATAATAAAATAAAATAAGATAAAAGTATAAATATATAATACGGGGTAGAACACTTATATATTAATAACGAACGAATATATCGATAAGAATATAAAAATGTTGAATTAATTGAACGTGACACCTTGAAACGATAGTTCTCGTGATAGGCAAAAGTAGGATGTAAAAGTAGGATGCAAATGGAAACTTACAAAGTATAATAATATATGCCTCCTGTTCTCGAAACTTTCCCTTGACTGATACCGGAAAGTAGAATGAGTTTACTGCCGTTATCCTTAATTATTATTATTTATTTTCTTTCTTCATTATTTTGTTTCCTTATACACACTAATTTGCTTTGTGTGGCTGATCGAATTCAACGTATAACTACTATATTTGTTTTTGTTTTTTCGTTAAATATACTAATTTCGTATTTGCTTGAAAACGTGACCGGTAATATTCAGTTCTATCATTTTCCTTTAGTTGAAGATTTTTATATTACTTTAATTACGGTCGTTGTTATCAACTGATAACTAAATGTCAATTTTATGAATTTTATGATTGTTATCGATAAACGATTTTCAAATATACTATAACGTAGGGGGATTCCTTATTGACTATTTTCTTCGTAGTTTAAAAACTTTGAATGACTAAATAAATATAATTTATGCAAAAAAAAAAAAAAAGAAAAATGAAAGCAAAAAGAATTTTGTTAATTCGAATACAAGTAGGACGTGAAATAAGAGGGGAGAAAAATTATATAGGTTTACTTTCTCTTTTAAACTTGGAGTTCGAAAGCGTCAAAGTTTCGATCGGCGTGATTGGTCGTGCCGAAAGAAGGAAATTTTTTTATTTTACAATCAGGTTTTGAGTTCGTTAGAGCGAAACGAATGAATCTAACTGATTTCTTGATAAGAGTTTAGTTTCTTTCCAAGTTTACTTATTCGTATAACAAATTTTCTTACACATTTAAGATAATATTTAATATTATGTAACACATAAATTCTAATGCTTGGTATTATAATATATTAACATAATTCTAATATTTGATATTATATAATCACAAGATTTATATAATATATGATCATATATAAGTATGAATATACTTATAATACATATAAAAATAAAAGAAAATATTATATTTTTATAATAATTGGTTATTTAAAAGCTATATTATCATAATCGTATATACGTAAATTATATTTAATTGGTCTTACTCTGAAAGAAAAAAAAGAAAGCTAACGTAAGTAATTTTGAAAATGAAAGGTAAAGAGGATGAATTTACGATGACGAAGCCGTCTTCGTGAAAGGTGAACGAAATAAAGAAGAGAATGAAAGACCAGAAGAAAAGTAACCGCATGAATATGGCATCCGAAGTAATGCCCCAAGCAGTGAAAGTCACAAACCGGATGAACTTTTGCTTGCAAACGTCTCCGAGGTTGTGTCGAGTATATTTGACGAGTGTTAAATCGTTGAAAAGAAAGAAAAAAAAATGAGAAAGAGATAATGGCACCGGGAAAACAAAATTAATCAAGATAATAAGGTTTAAAAATCATTGGTACTTGCGCCTACGTTGATAGTTTTACGCAACACTTAGTATACTGGAAATATATTTCTATCTTATGAAAACTTTCGAAAAGCAAGTTAATCGATCTCTGTATAGAGAGAATATTTTACGAAACATTAGAGAACTTTGTAATTATCACTTCGAATTGTGTAATGTTTACGTAATTAATCGATTGGTCAAACATAAAGTAACTACTTATCACGTTGATTGCCATAATCGTTACTACAAATGAAAAAATATTTCAATGATAAATCACACACATTTTCTTTTTATAATAAATTGATTAATTTAGAAATAGAAGAAAATATTAATAATACATTTTTTATCATCTTTATAGGTTGGTTGGGTCGGTGTTGGTAATGACAACTGTCGTTGTATTGGCTAACTAAAACAGGGAGAATATGACTCTTCGATGACACGTAACATCATTAATTGGCAGCTGTCAATTACATCAGTACCGTCGCTTTTTTTGCAATCTCATGAAGTAATGGCGTAAGTTGAAATTTTTTTTATTATACATTTCGTATCCTTATTTATTAACCATCAATTACGTATGTCCTAATCGAGAAGGTTTGATTAAGTGTGAACATTTCTATCAGTAATACGTAATTAACTATTATTTTTCTTTCTTCTTTTTCTTTATAGGATCACTTGATCGAATTCATATTCGAAGTATCGGTAAACAGAATGGAAAGAATTACTCGTATCGAACCAGAATTTTTACCACCCACTGTCCTGGTATATATATATATATCAATTGTTTTTCACCGGATACAATAACACGGATCATCAACTTACTTATGAAAAATTTAATACTTGGTATAAATCAAATTGACGATTGGAAATTAATCGTCAAACGTTTATCCAGATTATAATCAACAATATGATCCTAATTGTATTGATGTTTGAAATCAAGTTACGGTGTCTTCGTACAAAATCTGAAAATATCATGGAAAGTATTACGTTTTACGAGTATCAACGCGGAAAATAATGAATGTAAAATTAACCAGGATTTTCATCACGATCAAGACATCTTCCAGGGAGGTTCCTCGTCGAGTACCGGTCAACGAATCGAATCCCATTTGCTTTTAGAAATTTCTAAAACGTATGTTAGATCATATCATTTTGAATATTGATGCAATGATGTAATTAGTATCGATTTAATTGAATTTTTAAATTGTTCCGATTATGTGAAACAAGACAAAAAAATTGATTCGTTGACTGGTCACTCGGTTTCATCAAGAAATCTAAAATCGGCAAATCTTCCTTTTCCTTGCTTTACTATTATTGTTTTGAACTCTGACTATTCCCGAAAAAAAACAAAACATTATTCTATCATTCTCTATCCAAAGGAATCGTTTTTACTCGCTCGGAATAGTTGAACCTTCTCGACAAACCTAACGTTCTGTGATAGCCCTTTTCTCGCTTGTTTATCGATTATCAAGTATTTCGTAATTTAATTGATTTTTTTTCTCTTTTAAAAATTATAAAATCGATGAAATTACTTGATCCTTGATAAAAACGATCATCCACTATGATTTATAAACAATCTTTGCTAAATAATTCTCAATTCTTTTACTATACTTTAGTCACGTCAATCTATTTTTTCTTTTTTGTTTTATTTGTCTATCACCTCATCTTTTTTCTTTTTCTTGACCGCCTTGCAAACAAGATTTGTAAATCTTTATGAAATTATTCTCAGCTCTCTTGCTATACTTAAGCTACGCCTATCTCTATTTCAATTTTTTCTATCCTTTCATTTCTTTCTTATTCTCGCTAAATTCTTTCTTTTTTATACTAAATTTTTGCAAATTTCTCTTTCATGTGCAGCATCTTAACTTTTTCTTCATTTTCTTTTCTTCTAAGCTGTATGTACCTATTTACTTACTTACTTACTTATCTTATCTTATTTTATTTTCTATAAGGATCTCTACTTTTATTTCTTTTACTTTATCTTTCGTTGCCATCAACATATCAGTATTATCAGATTCAAGATTTCTTGATTAATCTTGCCAATGTGTAAATTTTCATTTCGATATTATTTTCTACTATTTTCTCTATTTACATTTTCTTTCTCAACTTCTTCCTCCTCTTCTTTCTTAGCTTTATTTTCTATTCTTTTTGCGTGTGTAAAATTTCCTTTGAAGATCTCTAAAATACGTTTCTTCTTTATATCTATGTATTCATTTTTTCATTGTATTATATGAACTTTTATTTCTTTACTACTGTACCTGAACACTATCGCTTCGAATATATTAGGTAATTAAATATAAAACGTCCGATTATTTCGAATAATTTCATTCCGTAAAATCAAACATTTCATATTTAATGGCCTAATATTTATCCTATTTTTTTCTAATTACTTTTTAAATTTTCTAATAATTACTTTTATCGTCACGTCAATTCCTGATCTCGTTTCTATTCTGTGTTCTCTACTATTTTACTTATTCTTTTCTTTCTTTACATTATGTTTTTTTTAAACTATTTTTTCTTATAATACATACCATTATAAATATAAAACTTCTATGGATACTCTCTAATCTTTTCTATTTTTCTGTCCCATCTATATATTTCTTCCTATTTCTTTCTAAATCTTTTTAAAAAATAATATTTCTCCCCTGCCCCCCCCCTTATAATTTGCGAAATATTGTCTCTATCGTTTATTAAATGTCTTATCTTTCTTTTTCTATCTTCTTAATTAATTCTAATTTCTACGTATCTCATAAACTATTATTCTTACTTCTTCTTTCTCTTCATATCTATTTTTTTTTCTAACTATATTCGAACATTTGTAAATATATCTATCTTCGTACCTATCAATTTATTTTGTATAAAAATTCTTTTCCTTAATCTATTACTTTCATTTCATTCTACGTTTCTTTATTTTTTCTTCTTCTATCTCTATATTCTTAATCTATTTTTCGCATTTTACTTGTATATCTCTTAATCGATTTCCTCTTCTTTCTTTTTTCTATTATATTTTCTCATTTTCTCTATTTTCTTTTTTTATTTTCATTAAAACTTCTATTCTTTTTTTCTACCTCTTTCTTTTTCTTGGTCTCTCTCTCTCTCTCTCTCTCTCTCTTTCTTTTTATTTTCTCTTTTTCGTTTATTCTTTTTAATCTCTTCTTTTTTCTATCTCGTCTTTTACGTTTCTTTTTCCATCTTCTTTTTCTAATCTTTTCTAATATATTTACAAAAAATGCAATATCATTTTTAATCTATCGCTGTATCTATATTTCAATACTTTTTCTTCTTTCAATTAAACAATAAAACTGAACACTGTAATCATTATTTTCTTTTCTTTCACGCTAAATTTCTTCTATTTTCGAAAATCAATTCTTACATATCTTCTTTCTACTACATTTCCTTTTTCTTCTCATTCTTTTTCTTTTTTTCTCTGTCTTTCATCTTCTGTCTTTTTCTTCCACGATTTATGACTGTACGAAACTTAAATTGTGTGTTTTGCCACGCACATTTGTAATATATTTTAATATTCCTTTAAAAATATACCAAAAGAGAAAAAAAAAGTAATAAAAAGAAAACAAAAAAACATGGTCAAAAATTAATATAGAAGAAAGTCAATAATTTTTGTTATATAATTGATAAATCATTTACTACTATTTACTATATCCTTCTTCTCTTTCTAGTCTACTTCTCCCACCTATGAATACTCACTCTGTACAAAATCAAAGCGAAAAAAAAAAGAAATGTTTTTCTTATGCACTGTGATTATAATACGTTCTATCATTTATAATATGCAACTACTATTTTTCGTATCACCTTTCGTCATAGCTTACTATTGTACTATAGCATATCATTTATCATTAGATATGTATCTGTTAATTTCTTTCTGATTTTACGACTGCAAATGTTACTCGAATTTCTCTATACAAACAGGTATACATACTTATTTAATATGTGCGAAAAGAAATTTCTTATGAAATACTTTTTCTTTTTGTTTTTATTTTTCTTCTCTATCTCTCAACTTCTTTACTATCTATTATTTTCTTGTATATATTCTCTGCTATGTTTAATGTCTTCGAAAAAAAAAAAAAAACGAAAGCAAAAAAAAAAACACATATCGCTTTTTCTCTCTTTACTTTTGTTCTCAAATTTATGTAAATATTTATGTAAAAATTGTCCGTTCTATATCGTTTTTCTTCGTCACTTCATCATTTTTGTCTTTGCTATCACGACTGTTAAGTTGACGAGAAGATTGTCAAGTAAAAAAGAAACGTATAATCAACGTAGACAAAAACTAAATATTATAAACTTGTCAAGTTAAAAAGCGATTTTACGAATTTTTATTTTTTAAATGCCTATGCGTGGCTGTGATCTATGCGCCTTTTTTAATTTCATTTAATGTAATTTATAAATTGTGAAAAATTTTTTTTTTTCATTTCCAACAAATACGAACAAAAATCTTTATCTTTTATTGTACAAACTATTTTTTTTTGTTCCTTCTGCATAAAAATAAAAAAAAATGGAAACATAACAAAAATATCAAAATGTCGTACGTTTATTCCTTTCCTTAGAAATATTTAAACTATGATTGAAATTTTTTAATTTTGCAATTTCCCAAAGAATAAACTAAACAAATTTTTAATTAAATGAAAATTCAACATAATTATTATTTATCTTTAAAGTATCTATATTTTTTGAATAAAAAGACAAGAGTATTATATATTTATTAATTTGCAAACACAGCGAATCAATACGTGTCATTAATCATTTTTCAATAGTATTCATCGATTGTTTGTAATTATTTATATTAATATTACATATTATATTTGTAAATAATGCAAATAATTGCAAATAATGCAATATAAAACTTTATTGATTTATCTAGTATATAGGTAGGACAATTGAAAATATATATTTATTGATAGATCATTTTTTTTTCTTGAAAATCTTAACGACCAAGTATAAAGTGTTGCATACCTCCAGGCGCAATGATTAATATATACAAAAACGATAAACTTTTTATGGATATTAAGATATACATATATATAAATACATATCTAAAAAATATATATGTGAGATTAAGACCTTCTATGTAAAATAAAATAGATATTCGCGAGGAAATTTTTACACACGAATTCTATATATAATATATTAATTATAAAATTCTCAATGAGAGATAATAAATGTGTAAAAATTGTTGAACTGTTTAGTTTTTCTAAAACGAAAAATATTACTTCAAAATAACATTTTTGTGTTTTAAATGTTAAGTTCGACCGATTCGTTCATGAGTGACTTGTATTTATCTAGAACTGGTTGAACTTCCTCCTTAATAAATTCGTTAACCTGTTCGGGAGCCCTACCAACAAAGGTCGAAGGATTTAACAAATCATCAATTGCACCAAGTATTGGCGCAAAATATGGATCTTTTTTAATTCTTTGAATCAAATCATTGTCGAGACCGTGTTGTTTTACTTGAGCACCAGCTTCTTGAGATAAAACTCGAATTTTTTCATGGCATACCTATGCAAAACAATAAATGTATATAATAAATAATTCTGTAAAAAAACACAAAATAAAGAAAATAATATCTCATACGAATAAGAATAAAATTTTACTTGTCTATCGCCGCCTGCTTTCACCATAGCCATTATAATATTTTCCGAACACATGAAAGGTAATTCCTGAGCCACATGTTTTGCAATGACCTTAGGATAAACAACTAGACCTTCCGTGATATTTTGCAAAGTAATAAGAACAACGTCCGCCGAAAGGAATGCTTCTGAAAGTGTAATCCTACGATTGGCTGAATCGTCCAAAGTTCTTTCCATCCACTGTACAGATGCGGTTTGAAGAGCGTTATTAAATAACGTCATCAAATGACGTGCAATGCTGCAACATCTTTCGGAACGCATTGGATTCCTTTTATACGGCATGGCACTGGATCCTATTTGTGTCGTCTCGAACGGTTCCTCTAATTCTTTCATGTTAGCCAGTAACCTGATGTCGGTACAAATCTATTAAAAACAAGAACACGTATGTATTAATTTTCCAAAGAACATTTTTTATATTATCAAAGTGATCTTTTTTTACCTTGTGAATCGTAGCACCTAACGAACTTAAAACGTTCAAACATTCTACGTCTACTTTTCTACTATACGTTTGTCCTGTAACAGAATAATGCTTTTCGAATCCAGCCATCTGCGTTACTAGTACATCCAATTGTTTTACTTTTTCACTATCACCTAAAAATTGACACAACATCGTCAACATTATAATAACTAATAATATATAAATAAAAATGAAATAATATACAGATACTCTTAAAAAGAAAAAAGTAATTGTTAATTATCCTATCCGTGATGTCATTAATACAAACTTCCTTAATTTTAAATATCGACAATATTATTTAACTTAATTCGACTAACCATCGAACAATTGTAGAAATGATGCCTGAGTTCCTGTTGTTCCTTTAACACCGCGGAACTTAAGATCATTTTTAGCACGTACAAGAGCACGTTCGTCCATCAATAGATCATGAAGCCAAAGAGAAGCTCTTTTACCGACCGTCGTTAGCTGAGCTGGTTGTAAATGGGTGAAACCCAATGTTGGAAGACTGGCATGTTCCGTGGCAAATTTGCTAAGATTTTCTATAACTTTCGCTAGTTTTGGCAAAAGAATTTCAAATCCGTCACGAAGTATCAGTAGATCCTTTAAAAAAAAAAGACAAAAAGCAGAAAAGAATGTTTACCTTGAATAACACAGAATCGATCAAAAATATAAAATAATTAATCAGTATAATTATATTTTAAGAAAAAATGAACAAAATATATTTACGGTATTGTCACCGACGTAGCAACTAGTAGCACCCAAATGAATGATAGGCGCTGCTTTGGGACACTGTTTGCTAAAAACATGAACATGAGCCATAACATCATGTCTCGTAGCTTTTTCTTCTTTGGCAGCTGCTTCAAAATCGATATTATCGATGTGTGTCTCCATTTCTTTGATTTGTTCTTGTGTAATAGCCAATCCTAGTTTCTGAAACATTAAAATTCTGTATTAATCATCTTTTCAATAATCGATTATTAAATATTTATATTTATATTGAATCGTGCGATCGAAGAAGTCAATGATTCAATGGAATCATTTTTCAAAAATTATAAACTGTCATGTTGCTTATGCTCGAACAAATATATCTTATAAATCCTAATCGCAAAAATCTTGCAAGCACGTTGTATGGTAAGCCCTATTTAAAAAAAAAATATAATAAAAGATATAATTATAGCTCATCAGTGAATGATCCTATGATTCATTATTCGGAGTAAAGTTAAGCAATGTTGAAGAAGTTTCGATGCTATCATATTGAATTAAATAAAGATACAAATGCGTAAAATAAGATACAACCAGACGAATGAGCAAGTACTCTACTATTCTTTATCTCGTAGGATATTATCTGATTAGATAAAGAGAGGCTTGGTATTCTCCATGAATAATCGTTTAACAGGTTAAAACGTTGTTCCTATTTCATTTATTCTTCTTCATCGCGTGAAAGGTGTGTTATTAACCAAAACTGGCGTCAAAATGGTGTCCGTCGAAACAATTGCATCTATTACGATAAAAATTCTTAAATTGGTAAGAACAATGCAAGAATCGTTTTCAATGAAAATAGGAATTTCATTAGACAGGGATTTGTTAATCTAATGAAATATAATCATCTTAGAAGGATTATGTTCCTTTCTCAGTGCGCGAAAGTGTTTCGTTGCTACGTGTTAAGTGTTAAAAAACATAATGAATTGTTTTTGTTTTGAAGTCATTAATATAGTGAGGATTAATAATAAATATGATTTATAGTTAAGAAAAAGTAAGCAAGAATGTACGAAACAATTGCAAAAGCATTTATTCATCGTCTGATAAAAAAAGTCTACCAAGAAATAAAATTATTTATTAGATCGATCTCTTTCTAATATGTTTTTTTTGTCGAAATGAATTAAACAAATTTTAAATTTAATTATCTTTCATCGATGCACTACGTACAATGAAAATATTTTTATTACCAAATAAAACGTCATAAATAGAACGACTTATATATTTGTAAGAAGAAAAATTTACGCTAGCTCGTGATTCATTTTATTTCTTATCAACTTGCTATCGATAAGAAACGTTGTTTGTAAAGCGATACCGTTTTCGTTTGTGATACACAAAAATGTGAAACGAGCGTGCTACATTTTTACCCATCCAACTTTTTTCTTCTATTTAGTTAACATTATAGCCATAGAAAAATAAAAAAAAAAATAAAAAAAGAATAAAGAAAAAACGAATAAATCTGTGTATCCTTATATTAATGTTTTTCTTCTTTATTTTTGTTTAGGTGATAAATTTAATTATTCTTATCCTGTATCGTACCGGATACGCCGGAGAATTTTTGGGAATCGGTGGAAAATGGAATCTAAACGAGGATAAAAATCCTGACGTCGAGATCGTCGGGTCAGGTGTTTTTGTTGGATTCTTTTTGTACACCGGTGTAGTTTTAATTACTTTTTGTTTTGGCACGACCAATCACAAAAAAAGTCTCGTGGTAAGTTAAAAACGTTCTTGAAAATTTATGCAACGAATTTTTAATAGAGATAATACATATATATATCTATATATTTATTGTCATTTTTTTTTTCTTTTTTCTCTCATTTTTTTTTTTTTTTTTAGGATATTATTATGAACTTCCTTGGACTTTGTATGTTCCTCGCTGTTGGTGGCACAGCTTTACATTATTGGCATGGATATCAACCAGAACATAAATTTGAATATTTAGTACCAGAAAGAGAGGTATTTATATTACGACGAATGAAATTATTATTTTTTTTTATTATTAAAAAAAATTAATATTTATTTATAATGGATTTTTTTTCTAGGTCGGATTGGCACTTGGTTCACTGTGTATTATAGAAGGAGTATTATATCTTACGGACTTATTATTAAGTATCCGACATTTGACAAAGGAGGAATATGATTAATGATTTTTATCAAATATTATAACAAACGAATGTTTTATATATAAAACTAATTCATTCCATAATGATACATCAAAGACGATTAATCATATTGTCACAAAATAATTTTCACTCATATATCGTTGTATTAAAATCGAGAATCATCGTTCATTGAAATATTTTTGTTACATTTAATGACAAATAAGACGATTATTAACATAAATATAATAAAGATAAAATTAATTGTTATTAAATAATTAATACAACACGTATGTGTGTGTGTGACGAATTTCGTAAGATGAAATTATTGAATTCTATGCATTAGTTTTCCCATATGACTTGTTAATTACTATAATTTTTTTTTCTTTAATAATTATTTACTACAAAATTGAGAATGTTAATAATCAAAAGGTATTGTTTTTTTTATTAATAAAGTAACTAAATTAACAAAAAAAAAACACGCCTGGTATGTATAATAATTTTCCCTTATTTATTATAATCGATCCGTACCACCGATATCGATATCTCTATTGCGAACATAAATTGACATTATAAAAAATATATTTCCCGTTACTCGAATTTTCAAAGAAGAAAGGAAAATAATTGATTTGTTTACGAGATAAAAAATAAAATGGGTCGCAGTTGTGAGGAATTGTGGAAAAATGTTCATTTCGTTTTAAAGATAATTGTTTTCGTGAGCATTAATATAATTAACCTTTAATCAATATATATTTCATTTTTGTAATTCATTAATAGTAATAAACCTCGTATTCGTTTAGGCTATTCTCTTGAGCATACATTTATTTTTTTTCGATACTTATGCTGCATGTCATCGATATTACGCGTTCGGTACTGGTTACTTTTACACAGGATTTATAAATATTGTTATAATACTTTATGGTTACACGTGGTTCGATACTACCTTCATTTGGGTAATTAATAAAATCAAACTAAATTAATTATTAATTTAAGTATTTTCATTTTATATATATCAATAATTTTGTATTTTCAGGAATGTTGTATGATTATATTCACCATACTGATGTTATTTATTAGTACATTTGCCTTGGTTCACGATTATTACGACGACGATGAAACAATAATAATTTATACTAACAAACGTTATCGTTAGTAAATAAGTCATTTAATATAATTATTGTTCAAATAAAATTAATTAAAAATTTAAATACTATTCATTTATAGGACACGACGAAAGATCTTTCGGCATATCTGTTGGATTAACAACTAGTAATTAATTTATTAAATAATTATTTTTTTTGTCTATAAAAAATTATTATTTAAAAATTTATAACATTTGTCTTTATTAATAGTCGCCGTAGTGATACTCGTGATCGATTTATTATTGTTAATAATAAAAACTGGAAGAAAAGGATCAAATCGATCACGTGGTAGAGGAATAACTCGAAGACAACAGCAAGCAAATAGACCTGTTGAAGCTGACAATTAATTATATTTCATTATAACAAATTAATGCAATTATATATACAAAGTATGAATGTATGATTATATTATAATAAAAAGAAAAACGCGCGGTACCTATACGCGAATGAAGTTAAAAATTTGTTAACTTTTTAATATTGATAATTTGATTGAATTATTAGATTATTAACCCTTTGCACTCGAGATGTTACTCTCGGTCACCATTCGAATTAAAACGATAATTTAATAAACGATGTTTATTTAGATTTTATTTAGGCAATACAACCATAATTAGCGAGTTGCGAATGTTTAATTTTATATATTTAATATTTATTTACATAATTAATGTGTGTTATACGTGATAAACTTCGTGTTGATTAATAAATCCATTTAACACATGAACGATTTTCTAAAACGTCTTTTAAAAGAATATAGTCTTTTGTTAAAAATAATACAATTGGTAAGTAAATCCTCTTAAATAAAAATTACAAAACAAATACAAAATAAGATTTAGGTTTTAGTATGCGTTTGTATGAATATTTTATCGGAATGCGAAGAATATTCAATACCAATGTGGTTATGGATAATATATTCGATAAATTCAACGACTTATGCCATTATCCTCCTAGTTTTGAGTTTAGCACATATTTTTCAGAAAAATAAAAACGTCATGGTATTATTTGTTTAACATTTTATATATTATTTTTAATAATAAATAATATGAACATTTTTTATAATAACATTTTTCTTTAATAGGAATTCACTTATTTTCTGATCGGTATTATTTTATATTGGATAGCAGGTTTATCAGGTATCATTAGATATTATACAATTAAACCGATTATTAATCAAAATAATTGTAATGAGAAAACAATTGGAATCGTTTTAATAAGTACGTTCAAATTATAAATTTTTTATAATGTACTACAAAATGGCTTATTATTATTAAACACACACACACAATGTAATTATTGTTTTTTATATAATTAATAGTATGCTCCTTCTTAATGATGTTCGACATTTGTATGAAAATTTGGATTGAAAAAAGACGAGTATGCTTGATTGCAAGATTGCGAGAACAAGAAATAGAATAGTCAGAACTTTGACAAAAATGATCCAACGAAAGAGATCCTTAATATTATAAATAAAAAAAAAAAACCTTAAATACCATAATTCTTTATTTTATGTTATCTAAATATTTTTCATTGCATTTTCGTAATAATATCAAATTCGATTTATGATGTTTTATTTACAACTGCAAACACTAAATCAGCGATAAGAAGAGCGGCTGCAAAAAAATTGTACATAGAATATTAAATAACAATTTTTAAACTAAAGTAAAAATGTTTATTCAAATTATAAATACCTAATGTTGCCGGTAAAATGGAATGCACTGTTAAATCTATGAAAACAGTGATTGCCATTAATACAACGTAAACTCCAATAGCGAATACTTCCTTGAAAAATAAAATAATAAAATTAATAATAAAATTTTGTTCTTAAAAATCTTAAGCCAAATCAAATAGCAACATTTATCAAACTAACCACCCATCGATCAGGATCTTCCCAAATGTAAGATACTACATAAGAAAATGCAATGAAGAACCAACCATGAAGAATCAACAATTGACTAGTACCAAGAGTGTGATGATAATAAATAATTCCTAACAGACAAAGAACCTGGACGAGATAACACGATGAAAAGATAACCTTAGTTTTTTAAACTATGATATATTATTATTATATCTAACGTATTTACTTACCCATTCAAGTAATCTAAGAACAAAATTAATATTGGTGAAAAGTACACGAATCGATTTCATTATTTCAATTAAAATTCATACAATTTACCAATCATATATTAATATTTTTTTTTCCTTCCCGAATAAACATTTTCAATTGAGTCTACCAATATAACGATCTATTTAAAACATCGAATTAATTAAATCAATTGTTGCAAATATCGCACACTTCATTGCAATAAATATCTTCATCGTATTTGTGTGATTATAATTAATTTAATAGTTTTTGTTTACGAAAGAGTAATAATAACATGGAAAATATTCCGGTTCCATTTAATGATCTTCCTGAAAATATAAGAACAAATATATTCGACAAAAGATTATTTGTTTGTAAAATGTTTTCTTTAGTATGTTACTATTTTAATTTAGAATTAAATATATTTAAAAATTTTTGTACAGAACTTTTAATACAAAAATATAATTACTAAATACAGTATTGTTCATAAACCATAATATTTTAACCATACTAACCATAATATGTTAACCATATTAAACACAATATTTTAATGTTTTACACTAACAAAAGTAAAATATATTTTTAGTCAGCCTGCATCGTTGGCACTGCAGCTTATATACGTCCTGTTGATACACATATTATTGGTGCTGAATATTTCGGAATGGTTGTACCTGCCTTGATAACAGGTTACATTATCATAAATTCATCAGAAATTTTAGCTATGTATATCGAAGAACCTCACGTTTTCCTTGTAAGTTATTATTCAAAAATTAATCTCCAATTTAAAAACAAAAAAAAAAACTCATTCGAAATTCTCTATTAGGAAGTGTGTTTTGCTGGAATTGGTTTTTTTGGAAACATCCTTAGCTGTTCTTATCAATTTCTCATGGAAATAGATTGGTCAACGATTTTTACAAATAATACTAAAGAAATTGTAAGGTAGTAATCTTTAACAAAATTCAAATAAAATAAAATATCAATTAATGATAATAATTATATAATCATTTTACATTTTTTTACAGGCAAGAAAACAATACACGAAAATTCATCGTTGCTTTGGCTTGTTTAATAAATTCGATCGCATTGTTACTCGTAATTATCGTTCGTGGATTAGAAAAATATCAATTAATAGTATCAACGAATTAAAAACAAAATGATCTTAATGCTTGTTACTAAACGAAACGATAAATCTTTTCATTATTTTCTAATTCTCAATTATTCCATACAAAACAAAACATGGACATTTATTTTTCTTCGATGTAGACTAAATATATATTATATATTACATTATAATCTTTTACTTCATTAACAAATAAGATTATTTCATAAATATTATCAATTCTAATTTGATATATCGAAGTATTAAAGTATCATCGCGAAAATTGTTAATTTATTGTTAATTAATATTTATAGTAGATTGTGAGATACTTCTTGTTGGTTTCATCACTCACTTTATATATTATACATATTTTTATAATTACAGACAAAATTTGGATAAAAAGAAAAAGAAAAGAAAGTTAACTGATAGGTGGGTGAACATCTTTTCACCAGATAAGAGACATGGTACTTGAAAATCATTGGCCACGCGACTTATTGTTAGATCAATTAATCCACTTGACCCCCATGGCGAGCATCGTCGTTTTGGATGACTGGTTTAACTATATACCCACGATCCGGATACGTAATCATGTTAATTACAAGTGTCGTATTTAATTTAACCTTTGGTGAATCAAAAAGGAAGAATGTTCTTACATGCAGGGTTGAGTAATTAACCTTAACATAAGAATCGTAAGTTTTTTAATTTCAAAAACAAAGATATAAGTAATTCAAATTAATAAAACATTATCTATTACGAAGATAAATTAATGAAAATATTTTCGAAATAGATATTAAATATCAATAAAGTAACGTTTATTATTTTTTTATCTTTCTTTCTTTCTTTCTTTCTTTCTTTCTTTATACTAGTACGTACGTTTGTAAAAGTTCTTTTAACGCAATAATTTTTGCAGTAATATATTTAAGTAAATTGGCGGTATGGGTTACGGATCAATACCAAAACGATTTACACAGTATTAACAAGGTTAAATGCAACTACGTCGCATTTTTTGCGTTACACTATTATGAAAAAAAAGAAAAGAAAAACAAATATTTTTCTCTTTTCTCTTCTCTTATTCGAAAACAAGAAATATGAAATAAATAACATAAGTTTTTTATTATAGATACAACTTTTTTATCGAGCACGTTCGAACTCTAGTTTCGTTTTCTTAAATTTAAAAATAGTTTACCAGTCATAATTGGTAAACTACATAAATATAATACATGCAATATAATACATGCAAAAAAAAATATAATAAGGGCATGCATGCATTATGGGCACGAGCTTGTAATATGAGATTCAACTTCTCGATGTGTGAAGCAAGCTGAGGTCATATTATAATATAACGCGTCCTTGCTTCGTTACAATAATAATAACAGAATAAATAACATTTTAAGAAATGATTATGCATATTTTCATGATCAAAGTCCTCTCGTATGTAGACACGACGAATGTGTATAATTTATTATTATAATTTACAAAGTTCTATTAATCACATTAATATTTCAAACTTTTAATTAAATAATATTAATTCTAAAATAAATATATATAAATAAATAAATAAAGATCAAAATATTTTAATACATAACGTATAATAATAATGAAATAATACGAAAACGAAAAGGGTTCTCTTAGATAAATTAATTAAATATATCAGTTAATTAATTAAAAAATGAAGTAATATAAATAACGTTGTTAAATATAAACGATTTTTATACAATTCTAAAATTAATATTATTAACTAAATAAAAAATACATAAAAAGAGAAACATATGTAAGTCGATGAAGAATAACGAAGCTTTTGTTGTTAAATGGGACTCCCTTCGATGTACTTAAATGTATACTTACTATGTTAAATGTTCACAAAGGAAACCAGTGTGAGTGGTTCAAGGCCAATAGGAAGATCGCACACAGTAATAGTAATCGTCAATGAAGATCAAACCGCGCCTTCTACGCGCGCCGAAGCATGCGATCTTTTCCTGCTCACGGAAACGTATATACAATAATATACAGGATGTTTCACTGAACTTGAACACTAAACACATCTTTGTTGAATCGATGATATACGATTGAAACAATATTATATTAACTATATAATAAAATATAAATAATAATTAATCATATTACTTGCTAATATATATAAAGTTGCATTACGATAAATATAACATTTCTTTTTTTCTAAAATTTTTATTACTATACTATTGCATCTTATTAACAAACTAATGATATAAATTTATTTTTTTTCTTTTT